CCCATTGAGTATAATGCTGGCTGTAAGTCTTTCGTATATGGCCTTTATTATGTTGAGATATGATCCCTCTATTCCCAGATTGCTGAGCGTTTTTATCAGAAACAGGTGCTGGATTTTGTTGAATGCTTTTTCTGCATCTATTGATATGATCATGTGGTTTTTATTCTTCATATTGTTTATGTGGTGTATCACTTTGATTGATTTGCGAATATTGTACCAGCCTTGCATCCCTGGGATGAATCCCACTTGGTCATGGTGAATAATTTTTTTGATGTATTGCTGGATCCGATTTGCTAGTATTTTGTTCAGGATTTTGGCGTCTATGTTCATCAGGGATATTGGCCTGTAGTTTTCTTTCTTTGTAGTGTCTTTGTCTGGTTTTGGAATTAGAATTATGCTGGCCTCATAGAACGAGTTTGGAAGTCTTCCTTCTTCTTGAATTTTTTGAAATAGTTTGAGGAGAATGGGTGTTAGTTCTTTTTTGAATGTTCGGTAAAACTCCCCCGTGAAGCCATCTGGGCCTGGACTTTTGTTTGCTGGGAGAGTCTTGATTACATCTTTAATTTCCTTAGTTGTTATTGGTCTGTTCAAGTTTTCTATCTCTTCCCGGTCCAGTTTTGGGAGACTGCATGTTTCTAGAAATTTTTCCATTTTGCTTAGATTGTCGAATTTGTTGCCATATAGTTGTTCATAGTAGCGGTTAATGATCTTTTGTATTTCTGTGGTGTCGGTTGTTACTTCTCCACTTTCATTTCTGATTTTGTGTATTTGGGTTCTCTCTCTTTGTTTCTTAGTGAGTCTAGCTAAGGGTCCATCAATCTTGTTTATCTTTTCGAAAAACCAGCTCTTTATTTCATTGGATTGTTTTTTGGTCTCTATGTCATTTATTTCTGCTCTGATCTTTACTAGTTCCTTCCTTCTACTTGCTCTGGGGTTTTCTTTTTGTTTGCTTTCTAATTCTTTAAGTTGTGAGGTTAGACAGTCATTTAGAAATTTTTCTTGTTTCTTGAGATAGGCCTGTAGTGCTATGAACTTCCCTCTCAGAACTGCTTTCGCTGCATCCCAGAGATTTTGTGTTGTTGTGTGTTCATTTTCATTGGTTTCCAGGAAGTTTTAAATTTCTTCCTTGATCTTCTCGGTAACCCATTCATTGTTTAATAACATGCTATTTAGCCTCCATGTGTTCAAATGTCTTTGCATGTTCTTGTTGCAATTGATTTCTAGTTTCATGCCATTGTGATCTGAGAAGATGCTTGCTATGATTTCAGTCTTCTTGAAATTGTAGAGATTTAATTTGTGTCCTATCATGTGGTCTGTCTTTGAGAACGTCCCATGTGCACTTGAAAAGAATGTGAATTCTGTAGTTTTGGGGTGTAATTCTCTGTAGATATCTATTAAATCCATTTGGTCTAGTGCTTCATTTAGAGTCTCTGTTTCCTTGCTAATTTTTTGTCTAGAGGATCTATCCAGTGCTGTCAACAGGGTGTTGAAGTCCCCTGCTATGATTGTATTGCTGTCGATTTCTCCTTGGAAGTCCTCCAGAAGATTTTTAATATATTTTGGTGCTCCTATATTGGATGCATATATGTTTATCAAGGTTATATCTTCCTGTTGGATAGATCCTTTCAATATTATGTAGTCGCCTTCTTTGTCCCATGTTATGGCCTTCATTTTGAAATCTATTTTATCAGATATGAGTATTGCTACCCGAGCTTTTTTTTGCTTTCCATTTGCTTGGAAAATTTTTTTCCATCCCTTCACTTTCAATGTGAGTCTTTTGTTGTGAGGTGGGTCTCTTGTAAACAACATATAGATGAGTCATGCTTTCTTATCCAATCAGCTACTCTGTGTCTTTTTATCGGAGCATTCAGTCCATTTACATTTAAGGTGATTATTGATATGTACTTGTTTATTGCCATTTTTGTTTAGTGTGGTTATATTTTTCTTCCTATTTCTTCTACTAATTACAGTAGTCCTTTTAACATTTCTTGCAGTGCTGGTTTGGTGTTAATGTATTCCCTTAGCCTTTTTTTTTTTTGTCTGGGAAGCTCTTTATTTGACCTTCTATTTTGAATGATAGCCTTGCTGGGTAGAGTAGTCTTGAATTCAGATCCTTGTTTTTTATGACCTTGATTACTTCATGCCATTCCCTTTGGCCTGTAGTGTTTCTTGTGAGAAGTCAGCTGAGAGCCTTATGGGGTTTCCTTTGTAGGTAACCTGTTGCTTATCTCTTGCTGCTTTTAGGATTCTCTCTTTGTCTTTAATTTTTGGCATTTTAATTACTATGTGTCTTGGTGTGGGCCTGTTTGGGTTCTTCTTAGTTGGGGCTCTCTGTCCTTCTTGAACTGGAATGCCTTCTTCCTTCACCAAATTAGGGAAGTTTTCTGTCACTATTTCTTTGAATATATTCTCTAACCCTTGTTCATTTTCTTCTTCTTCAGGGACTCCTATGATGTGAATATTATTACGTTTTCAGTTGTCCCACAGTTCTCTTTAGCTGTCTTCCTGTTTTTTAATCGTTTTTTCCTTTTGGTTTTCTGATTGGTTGATTTTTTCTACCCTGTCTTCTAATTCATTGATCCGGTTCTCAGCTTCCTCTACTCTGCTTTTTAGATCTTCCAATGTGTTTTTCATTTCTGATATGTCATTTTTTATCTCTTCTTGGTGGTTTTTAATTTCCAATTGGTTTATTTTCAGCATCTCTATGTCCTTACTCATGCTGTTGAGCTTCCTTAAGATCATGGCTCTGAATTCTAGCTCTGTTAACATGCCTCACTGCTCCACATTGATCTCATCTTTGGTGGAGGTCTCTTGTTCTTTCATTTGGCTTCTGTTTCTGTGTTTCACCATTTTGGCTATCACAGTGAGCTTTGGAGCATGTCAAGTTTTCCCTGTGGGTGTTGGTGTTCTGCTGTTTGTGGTTCCCTCTCGTGGGTTTAGATTAGCGAGGGAGGACCCACTTTAAACACCACTGTCAAGTCTTACTTTCCTGGTTAGAGTTGCTAGCCCAGGAAAGGTCCTGTTATCCTCTAGCTTTTTGCCCGGAGGCTAGCAGTCCAGGTTACTTGAAGAGTTTTGGGTTGTCAGTTGATTGAAAAACTCCCTCAGGTGCTCAGCATAAGGGGATTTCCCAAGGTTGGGGCAGATGCTGGTTGTTAATGAGCCTCAATTAACATTTCAATGGCACACAGGGTGGGGTTGGATCTCCCAGGGAGGGGCTGCTGCCTCTCCCCAGAGCCCTGGGAAGGAGCAATATGTCCACCGTCTTGAGTGGCAGCAGCTCAGCAAAAGCTCTGAGCGCCCTCCAAATGCCGAGTGTCCCCGCACAGTTCCAGTCCAGTCCGCCCTCCCTCTGCCGGAGCCCAGGGTGAGTGGCTGTGGCTGTTTCAGCCTCTGTCCCGGTTGCGCTGTGGAGCCGCCTGGGAGTGTAACCCGAGGGCGCTGCTCCCAGCTGAGGCCGCTGCCGAGCTGCCGACTGTGGGCTCCCAGCCCTGGTCTCGCGCCTTCGCAAACCTACCAGGATCAAGTTAGTGTCCCTGGTTATATGGTCCTTGCAAGCTGCTTTTCTGTTGCTTTTTCCCATCAATTTGTCTGTGTTTTCCTTGTAATTCCAGTTTGGTCCTGGGAGACGGTCTGTGTAGCCTCCGCTCACTCTGCCGCCATTTTTCGGGATCCTGAGGTCTTATTTTAAACTGTTTCATTAAGTCCTTTGAATTCATAGCAATGTTTGTTCTGCTTCCTGGAAGCATTTTTCTGGAAAATGTATTTATGTGACACCTGCTTTTCTTATTCCTTTCTTCCCTTTTCTTGTAGATTTGCTGTGCATATTTCAAGCTTGTTTTCTTTTGATTATTACTCTCTGCCAAGTATCCATAGGAAGCGATTGGGGCAGTGAACTGAGCATGTAGTGAAGCTGCCATGCCCGTGTGTGTGTGTGTGTGTGTGTGTGTGTGAACTGAGCATGTAGTGAAGCTGCCATGCCTGGGGGTGTGTGTGTGTATGTGTGTGTGTGTGTGTGTGTGTGTGTGTGTAAAGGTGAGACACAGACACTCACACAGATTGGCTTAGCCTGTGTATCTCCCTGGCAGTTACCAGCTGCTCATGATATGTTGTTTTCCAACCTCCATTTCATTAACAGACTCCCTCCATCATACATAACATTGTTAAGGATTTTATCATTTAGCACTGCCTTGCCCTACTTCATGATGCCAAATAGAGTCCTTGGAAGTTCCCCAAGCTGTGACCCTTAACCCTTCATTGCAAACCAAGGTGATGGTTCTTCTCCTCAGATGCACCACCTGTGCAGTGTTTTGCACCTTTGTCTGAGAATTGTGGTCAGACCAGGTATTTAATCTCAGCATACTTCTGGACTCTGGTGTAATTTTCACTGAATTTGGCACACCATCCTCATTTATTGTGTCTTAGGGTTACATTGGTACTTTGTTGTTTTTTTTTCCTTTTTTTTTTTTTTTTGGTACGTGCCCCTAGCAGGAACCGAACCCGGGACTCTCTGGTCCTCAGGCCGACGCTCCAACTGCTGAGCCAAACCGGCCAGGGCGGTACTTTGTTTTAGCAAAGATAGAGTTTGCATTTCTTTTTTTTTTTAATTTAATTTTATTTTTTTCTTTACATTCAATTTTTGGAGGTGACTCTGGTTAACAAAATTCTACAGGTTTCAGGTGCACAATTCTAGAACACATCATCTGTACACTGTACTGTGTGTTCACCACCCCCAGTTTATTTCTTGTTTCTGGGTGATCTCAAGGATGACAGAGGTAAATTTATTTTGGTAATTTAAACTTTATTTTAAAATTTATTTTAAAACCACAGCCATTTTAAAAAGCAAAGTGTCCTTCCCGCTCTATCTGAAGATAAATGCAAAAATGTCCTCGGGTGAGGATAAAAATAAATAAATAAATAGATATTTCTTTATGGTGTCTTTATTATGTTTCTTCTTGTGAAATTTTTTCTATTAACTGCTTTTTATTTCCTGTTTTTAGTGTGACAAGTACAAGACTGGAGTTATTGATGGGCCTGCATGTAATAGCCTTTGTGTTACAGAATCTCTTTACTTTGGAAAATGCTTATCTACCAAGCCCAACAATCAGGTATGGACATTATGCATAAACATTTCAGATTGACAGCACACTCTAATTTTACCTTAAACTAAAGCATTATTAAAAGAATTATTGAGCCAGAACTTTAGGACATTTATGTATTCCAATTTTATGCTTTGATTCACTCATTCCACAGATATTTATTAATCCCCTACTCCTGGTTTATTGCAGACATTGTTTTAGTTACTAGGACTACAGTGGTGATTAAGATAGATAAAATTACTTCCCTGTGGATCTTACAATATCCCAGAAGGGTGGGGAATATAAATAGGTAAATAGATAAGCAAGATAATTACAGATTGTGGTGTGTTTTATCAGGATATATGTAGGGCAAATACAGGGGACAGGTTGGTGGAGATGTGCTTTAGAGCAGGATCAGGGAGACCTTTCCAAGATAACATTTGAGCTCATACCTGAGTGAAATATTAAACTATAGCCCTGGCCGATTTGGCTTACAGGTTGGAGCATCAGCCCAAGGACCAAAGAGTAGTGGGTTCAATTTCAGTCAAGGGCACTTGGCTCAGTTGTGGTTTAGTTCCCGGCCCTGGTCACGGTCGTGTGGGAGGCAACCAATAGATGTGTCCCTCTCACATTGATGTTTCTCGCCCCCCCCCCCCCAATTCCACCCTCCCACTCTATCTGAAGATAAATGGAAAGGTATCCTTTGGTAAGGATTTTAAAAAGAAAAAGAAAATTAAACAGGGATGGGCAAAGGACAGGATGAGCTAAATCACAAAAGAAGAATTACACAGAACTGATACACATAATGGAAAAAAATGTTCCACCTCACTTACCATCAAGAAACATAAATTACTCCTGGCCAGTATGCTCAGTGGTTAGAGTGTCGGCCCATGCATTGAAGGGTCTCAGGTTTGATTTCCAGTCAAAGACATGTACCTGGGTTGCAGGTTTGATCCCTGGCCCAGGTCAGGGTTGTACAAGAGGCAACCAATCGATGTATCTCTTTCACATTGATCTCTCTCTCTCTCTCTCTCTCTCTCTCTCTCTCTCTCCTTCTCCCCCTCCCTCCCTCCCTCCCTTCTACTCTCTAAAAATCAATGGAAAAATATCCTTGGGTGAGGATTAACAAAAACAAAACAATAAAAATTATATTTATAGCTATAAATGCTTACATTAAGAAACAAAAAAATCTCAAAAATAAGCAACCTAATTTACAACTTATGGAACCAGAAAAGAACAAACTAAACTCAAAGCTAGCAAAAGGAAAGAAATAATACAGATTATAGCAGAGATAAAATAGAGAATAGAAGAACAATAGAGAAAATCAATGAAACCAAAAGTTGGTTCTTTGAAAATATTGACAAATTTTTAGGTAGATGATCTAAGGAAAAAAAACTCAAATTGCTAAAATCAGAAATGAAGTGGGGACATTACTACTGATTCTACAGAAATAAAAAGGATTACAGTCGCCCCTTGTTTATCGTGGTTAATTCGTTCCAGACTCTAGCAGTTGCACCTGGTGTTCAAGGATTCCTGGGGAGCTCAAATACATAGACCTACAGTCCATACATACAGTAATTTTCATTTTAATTGTAATACAGGAGTGTATAATTGACTCAGACAACCGAGCGCGCTGGATCACTTTCTCTGTCTCTATCAACGTTTTAATGAATATATTTGAAAAAACCACAATAGAGTGAAGCCGCAAATGTCGAAGTGTGAAGTGGCGAGGAACGATTGTATATGAGTACTGTGAACATTTGTACACCAACAAATTGGATATCCTAAATGAAATTAGAAACACAAAACTTACCAAGAAATAGAAAATCTGAATATATGTGTGTGTGTGTGTGTGTGTGTGTAGTAAGAGGATTGAATCGGTAACCAAAAGCCGCCTAACAAGAACAGCCCTGAACCTGTTGGCTTCACTGGTGAATTCTACCAAATATTTAAAGAACTAGCACCAGTCCATCCCAAACTTTTCTAAAAACTAAAAAAAAAAAATTGAAGAGGAAGGAATACTTCCTAACTCATTCTATGAGGCCAGCATTACCCTGATACCAAAGCCAGATAAAGATACTACAAGAAAATGACAGACCAATATCCCTTCCAAACATTGATGCAGAAATCCTCAACAAAATACTAGCAAACCAAATTCAGCATCATATTAAAAGGATCATACAGCCCTGGCTGGGTAGCTCAGTTGGTTGGAATGTTGGTGTACAGGAGGCAATCCATCAATGGTTCTCTTTCTCATCACTGTCTCTCTCTCTCCCCCTTCCTCTCACTCTAAAAGTCAGTGAACATGTCCTCAGGTGAGGATAAAAAAATATAAATAGATAAATATAAAAATAAAAAGATCATACATGCTGATCAAGTGGGGTTTATTCCTGGAATGTAAGGATGGTTCAAAATGGGAAAATCTATCCATGTAATACACCACGTTAACAGAATAAAGGGGAAAAAAAGGATAATCTCGATTGATGCAGAACAGATATTTTACAAAATCCAGTACCTTTTCATGATAAGAACAATCAACAAATTAGGAATAGAAGGCAACTACCTTAACGTAGTAAAACCAGTATATGAAATAGATACTCAGCAAACATCATACTCAGGGGTGAAAGACCAGCTTTCCCTCTGAGATCAGGAACAAGATTAGGATACCTACTTTTGCCACTTCTGTTCAACAAAATACTAGAAGTTCTAGCCACTAGCCAAATCAATTAGACAAAAAAGAGAAATAAAAGGCATCCAAATTGAAAAGGAAGAAGTAAAATTATCTCTGTTGACAGATGACCTGATCTGATGTAGAAAAACCTAAAGATTCCACACAGCCTGGCCGGTGTGGCTCAGTGGTTGAACATCGACCATGCACCAAGAGGTTGCCAGTTTGATTCCGAGTCAGGTCACATGCCCAGGTCGTGGGCCCGATCCCCAGTGGGGGCATGCAGGAGGCGGCCAGTCGATGTTCTCTCTCATTGATGTTTCTATCTCTCTCTCTAAAATCAATAAAGGGGAAAAAATTTTCAAAAGAATACTTAGTAATTAACCAGAGAGGTGAAAGACTTGTACAATGAAAACTTCTGAAAGAAATTAAAGATATAAACAAATGAAACACATCCCATGTACATGGGTTAGAATACTAAATATTGTTGTTAGTATTACCCAAAGTGATCTACAAAGTCAATGCAATCCTTATTAAAATATCAATGACAATTTTTGCAGAAATAGAAAAATCCATGCTAAAATGTATATGGCATCTTAAGGGACCCTGAATAGTGAAAACAATCTTGAAAAAGAAGTACAAAACTGGAGTACTCACACTCGTGATTTCAAATTTTACTGTAAAGCTACAGTAATCAAAACAGAGTGGTACTGGAATAAAAACCAACTTGTAAACCAATGGAATAGAACGGAGAGCTCCGAAGAAGCCCTCACATACATGGCCAGATGATTTTTTTCTTTTTATCCTCACCCGAGGACATTTTTGCATTTATCTTCAGATAGAGCAGGAGGGAGAGAGGGAGGAAGAGAGAAAGAGAAACATTGATGTGTGTCTCACATTGAGTGGTTGCCACCCACACGACAAACTACAACCGAGGTACGTGCCCTTAGCAGGAACCGAACCTGGGACTCTCTGGTCCGCAGGCCAACGCTCTAACTGCTGAGCCAAACTGGCCAGAGCTGGCAGGTGATTTTTGACAAGGGTGCTAAGACCATTCAATAGGGAAAGGCCTGTCTTTTCAACAAATGGTGCTGGGGAAACTGAATAGCCACATGCAAAAGAATGAATTTGGACCCTTACCTAACATATGCAAAATTAAAGTCAAAATGGATCAAAGATCTAAATGTACAAAACTCTTAGATGAGAACATTGGGTAAAAACTTCAGCATTGAATTTGGCAGTGATTTCTTGGGTGTGATACCAAAGGAACAGGCAACAGTAGTAAAAATAGACAAATTGGACTTGGTGAAAATTTAAAATTTTTGTGTTTCAAAAGGCAATATTAGTAAAAAGGCAATCCACAGAATGGGAGAAAATTTGCAAATCATATATTTGATAAGGGATTAATATCCAGAATATATAGAGAACTCCTAAAATGCAACAACAAAAAACCCAACAGCCAGATTAAAAAATGGGCAAAGGGCCCTGGCCAGTTTCGCTCAGTGGTTAGAGCGTCGATCCATGGACCAATGAGTCACGGGTTCGATTCTGGTCCCGGGCACGTACCTCGGTCGCAATTCATCCCCGGCCCTGGTTGGGGTCATGCGGGAAGCAGGCACTCAGTGTGTCCCTTTCACGTTGATGTTTCTCTCTCTCTCTCTTCCTCTCTCTCCCTCCCACTCTATCTGAACAACAACAAAAAAATGGGGAAGTGTCCTTGTGTGAGAATTTAAAAAAAAAAAAAAAATGGGCAAAGGACTTGGATAGATATTTCTCCAAAAAAAAGAAAAGAAAAAAATACAAATGGCCAATAAATATATGAAAAGACGCACAACATCACTGATCATTAGGGAAATGCAAATTAAAACCACAATGAGATACTACCTTATACCTATTAGGATGGCTACTATAAAAAATTTAAAAAGACAATAACAAATGAAATTGGAACCCTTGTGCACTATTAGTAGGAATGTAAAATGGTATAGAGAAAACAGTAAGGCAGTTCCTCAAAAAAATAAAAATAGAATGACCTTATGATCCAGCAATTCCATTTCTGGGTATATACCTAAAAGATTTAAAAGTGGTTCTTCAAGACATATTTGACACCCATGTTTATGTCGACATTATTCACAATAGCTAAAACATGGAAGTAACCCAGTGTCCATTGGCAGATGAGTGGAAATGCAAAATATATATATATATTTTTTCCTTTATTGATTTTACAGAGAGAGGAAATGAGAGAGAGAGAGTGATAGAAACATCAATGAGAGAACATTGATTGGCTGCCTCCTGCATGGCCCCCCACCCACCGGGATCAGGCCCACAACCTGGGCTTGTGTCCTGATTGGAAATCAAACCTCTTGGTGCATGAGTTGACACTCAAGCACTGAGCCACATAAGCTGGACTGATATTGTTTTTATAATGGAATATTATTCAACTTTAAAAAGGAAGGAAATTCTGACACATGCTACAATCTGGATGAACCTTGAGGACATAATGCTAAATGAAATAAGCCAGTCAGAAAAAGACAAATTCTGTGATTCCATTTATATGAATGAGTCAAAATCATAAAGACAGAAAGTAGAATGGTGACTTTGGGGCCTGAGAGGAAAGGGGTAACCTAGAGTTATTGTTTAATGGGTATAGAGTTTCTGTTTTACAAGATGAAAAGAGTTCTAACAAGGATGGTGGTGATAGTAGCACAACTTCATTGATGTAATAGCACTGAACTGTAAACTAGAAATTTTTAAGATACCTTGGCCAGTTTGGCTCAGTGTTGGCCCTCGGACCAAAGAGTTGCGGGTTCACCCCCAACCCCAGGATTGTGTGGGAAACAACCAATCGATGTATCTCTCAACAATGTTTCTCTCCTCTCAATCTCTTTCCTTCCCCTCCTCCCTCCCTTACACCCTACCTAAAAATCAATGGAGCCCTGGTTGGTTTGGCTCAGCGGTTAAAGCATCGGCCTGCGAACCAGAGTCCTGTGTTTGGTTCCCACTAAGGGCACGTACCTTGGTTGCAGTTTGTCCCTGGCCCTGGTTGGGGTTTGTAGGTGGCAACCACTTTATGGTCTCTTTCACATCAATGTCTCTCTCTCTCTTTCTCTCTCTCTCTCTTCCTCCCTCTCTCCCTCCTGCTCTATCTGAAGATAAATGCAAAAATGTCCTAAAATAAATAAATAAAAAACAAAAATCAATGGAAAAATATCCTCAGACGAGAATTAAAAACATGGTTAGGATGGCAAATTTTATATTTATATATATATTTTTTGTAATTTTACCACAATAAAAAAAAATGGAAAAATAAAATTAATGATCATGGTTAAAAATATATAGATATATACACATTACTTCTATAATTTAAAAATTAAAGAAATGGCCCTGGCAGGTTTGGCTCAGTGGTTGGAGCACCAGCCTGTGGACCAGAGAATCCTGGGTTCGGTTCCCGCTAGGGCCAGTTTGGCTCAGCGGTTAGAACGTTGGCCTGTGGTCCAGAGAGACCCGGGTTTGGTTCCCACTAAGGGCACATACCTCAGTTGCAATTTGTCCCTGGCCCTGTTTGGGCCCTGCAGGAGGCAGCCACTCAATGTATCCCTTTCACATCGATGTTTTTCTCTCTCTCTCTTTCTTCCTCTCTCTCCTTCCCACTTTATCTGAACAAAAAAATGGAAAAATGTCCTCGGGTGAGGATAAAAAAAAAAGAAAGAAAAAAATAAAATTAAGGAAATGATTTCCAATGTGCAATTCAAAAAGAAAGTTACAGAATTTCAATGTTTTGTTGCTTGTTTATGTGCGGTTTTGGAGGAGAAAGACACTATAAAAATATAGTGGCAGAGTTTTCTACTCAGCCTAACGCATAACTTGCCATTCTTTTTCACATAGATGTATTTAGGGATTTGGGATAATCTACCAGGGGTTGTGAAATGTCAAATGGAACAAGCACTTCATCCTGATTTTGGAACTGAATTGGAACCAAGAAAAGAAATAGTGTTATTTGATAAACCAACTAGGGGAACTACTGTACAGAAATTCAAAGAAATGGTCTACAGTCTCTTTAAAGTAAGTATATCCATTCACATGTTGGTAGTGTGAAGCAGTACACTCTTCTGGAAGAATTGGCAGGACCAATCCTAAACCACAAGAATGTTACTATTCTTTGACCTGTATCAGGGATTCTTGAATCTTGAAATAATTCAAAGAAAAGAAAAAAATGTGTGGAAGATGTTTACGTTGACATTATAATAGCTACAAGTGTCCAGATACGAAAGGGGAGTTCATTAAATAGATGGGCTGCTCCATAGTTTGATATTGTAAATGATATTTTTAAAAGGTGAAATAAAACTAGTACACCCTGATTTGCAAATTATTTAAATATTTAAAGAAATATTCATACAGTGATTAAATAGAAATGTTAAAAGATGAAAATAATTACACTTTTGGAATCTTTCTTATTTGTATTGCTCTTATATTTTCACTCATAATCTTTCTTTTCTCTTGACAGTTTATATTTTCAAACTATTTTATCCCAGAGAATCTTCACAGGGAAATACTTTTTAACCTTCATAATTAGAATAATGTAACTTAAATAACTGTGTTAATGTGACAACTGCAAAATAATTTTCAGTTGACCCCTCTTATAATTGGTTATGAGCACATTACACTTCAATTTTGCAAGTAAATGTATGAATAAGACAAAGATTACTTAGTGTCTTGACTATTTATGCAGAGTAAATTATGGGATTTACGGTGGCCATTTCTTAATAAACAGACTTAGCCAAGTTTTACTGAAATTATATAAAACATAGTTCTGACTCACTTAGCAAGCATCATAAACATTTGGAGATGTTTCAAGTTCCTTATGGGGATTCAGCAGCAAATTTATTCCTTAGTAATCTCCATAAAGGAAGTTAGTATATTTTTCATTCCTTCTTTATAATTAGCTAAATTCTTATCTTTACAGGCAAAATTGGGTGACCAAGGAAACCTCTCTGAACTGGTTAATCTCATCTTGACGGTGGCTGATGGAGACAAAGATGGCCAAGTTTCCCTGGGAGAAGCCAAGTCAGCATGGGCACTTCTTCAATTAAATGAATTTCTTCTCATGGTGATACTTCAAGATAAAGAGCATACCCCCAAATTAATGGGATTCTGTGGTGATCTCTATGTAATGGAAAGTATTGAATATACCTCTCTTTATGGAATAAGCCTCCCATGGGTCATTGAACTATTTATTCCATCTGGGTTCAGAAGAAGCATGGATCAGTTGTTCACACCATCATGGCCCAGAAAGGCTAAAATAGCCATAGGACTTCTAGAATTCGTGGAAGATGTTTTCCATGGCCCCTATGGAAACTTCCTCATGTGTGATACTAGTGCCAAAAACCTAGGATATAATGATAAGTATGATTTGAAAATGGTGGACATGAGAAAAATTGTGCCAGAGACAAACCTGAAAGAACTTATAAAGGATCGTCACTGTGAGTCTGATTTGGACTGTGTCTACGGCACGGATTGTCGAACTAGCTGTGATCAGAGTACAATGAAGTGTACTTCAGAAGTGATACAACCAAACTTGGCAAAAGCCTGTCAGTTACTCAAAGACTACCTATTGCTTGGTGCTCCAAGTGAAATTCGTGAAGAATTAGAAAAGCAACTTTATTCTTGTATTGCTCTCAAAGTCACAGCAAATCAAATGGAAATGGAACATTCTTTGATACTAAATAACCTAAAAACCTTACTGTGGAAGAAAATTTCTTACACAAATGACTCTTAGTTCACTTGGACATTGTGACCATTGTGGGAAACTTATCACTTAGACAAGTTTGAGCATTCTTTAAAAAAATGGCTTCTAATTAAAATCCCTGCCAGTTACACAAAACTCCTTTCCCATTCCTAAGAAGTCATCATCTCAAAATATGTCTGTTGCTGAATGGCAGGAGGTATAGGATCAGTAGGTCCAAAAAAATTTTCATTCTTGCTCTTTCAGAAGCCCTCCAGTTCCCAATACATTCACTGTGTAACTATTCTGACTGACTTAAAATAATGCTGTGAAGTCTCATTACATAAACATCAACAGTGAGAGTATTTTGTTAATTTATGTTAGCCAAAATACCACTGCTGGAAATAGTTTGCATTGAAGCTGCTGTTTAAAATTTACACATAAATTTACTAATGTCTTAGCATGGTAAAGTTTGCACATTAACAGAAATGAAGACTGCAAAAAAGATGAATTAAAATTACTGATTTATAAACAGATGTTAATAGTATGTTTTGTTGTATTATACACTTAAAACACATTTTAACTCAGACATCCAAGTTTATGTGGCTTCAGAAAGTTTCGAGTGGCTCTTACCAAGCCTCTTAAAATTTAAAACCTATCACCTGGCCAGTGTGGCTCACTGTTTACTCAGATCTGACATGTACCTTTCAACATCTTCATAAAATTAAATACCTTTTAGAGAAAAGACCCAGTATGCTCTGTTCAGATTTCGCCTGATTAAAGTATTTTAGCTATGTCACCTTCATTGGATAACTCTCTCTCAAAAAATTAAAGCCATGGATTAGCACCAGTTTTGCTTACTTTGAGGTAACTTTCTTCCCACCAATCATCTGGTTACAATAAATGAATGAAGTATTTCCTAGTGGAAGACTGGTATGTTGCTTGCCAGACTTTTAAGGAAGGCTGTACATCATACTATTTGAAGGATAACTCCTGTTGGGAATAACAGATGCCCACGCACAGGTATGAACTCTGAGTCAATATGCAAGACATCTTTTTCTGGAAAAAAATCTATATTTGTTTCTTCAAGAAAATACTGTTAATTTCATGGTATTTCCTACAGTTTCATTAACAAGAGCTTAACACAGAAATAGCTGCTTGTTCAATAAGTTTATTGTCTATTTGAAAAATCTTCATAGAAAATTGTGGTTTGGTTTATTAGCTCTCTGCAGCCCTTTCCTGAGCTCTAAGGAAGCTTGCTTTCTTCTGAGCTACCCGATCTTTCTTCTGGGCAAGAGACATTTTGGGACGGTTCCACCTATAAAACAAAGGAAGAGACAGGAATGTTATTTTTTAAAACCACAGGTAAAGAGGATAAAGAAGTGTTAATTGGATTGAAAAGGACAAAAATTCTGTAATAAGATTTCTCATACAGGTACCTGTTTATGATTTTAAGCTAATTTTCCCAAACCCCAACTTTTGTGATACTGTCCTATTACCACACAGAGCCAAAAATGAAATAAACATATTATTACGTTTAGAATCATTAAGTATTAGCAGTAATTGGTAGTTATACTGTATTAGGATAGAATGAACCACCTCAGTAGCTTCTGAGGCTAATGCATTTCTCTATCACCACAATTACTTTAGCAAACCTGGTTCCCTTCACTCCTGCAACATCATGCAGAGTTAGTGATCGAGTTTGCACTTTACTCAGAGTCTGAGTAAGATAAAACAAGGCAGGTTCGGAACCCCTCCCAAACTCTTTCTTGAAAAGACAACAGTAAGATGAATACCTCTTCTTTTTAACTTCTTTCTTAGGCTTCTTCTCATAGACTGGATTCTCGCGTATAGCAACATGAGCTTTCTTATACATCTCCTCCATCTGAAACAAAGCAAAGCAAACAGTACTTGGTTTCACTTCATATGCCCTAAACAATAATAAAACATACTGTAATCTATTACTTGCTCTGTTTGTCTTTCTAAGCCAGATTCTCAAAAGGCACTAAACTAGGTCAGTGTTGGTATACGCTTAAATTTCTAAATGGAACTGGCTATGCTTTTTAAGTCGTTCAAGTTTAGAGCAAATTGATTTCTGTAGGAACACATTTTATGCTCATTTAAAATACTGTCTGACCTAAATTCCTGGATTCAAGTGAGGATAGATACATGCCCAGTTTTTAAGATGTGCAGATTAAGAGTATATGGGGCCTTGGCCAGGTGGCTCAGTTGGTTGGAGGGTTGTTCCATACATCAAAAGGCTGTGGGGTTCAATCACCAGTTGGGCGCGTACAGGAAGCAACCATTCAATGTTTCCCTCTCTCCCTCTCTAAAATCAAAAACACATCGTTGGGTGAAGATTAAAGAATGTATGGAGCCAAGCAGCAATTGCCAAGTTATTTTGTCCCCTCACATTCCCCAGATTTACATTTTCCAATGATACCTGATAGATCTTTCAAAGCCATTTCCAGTATCGCCTACCAGGACCTCTTCTATCTACTACTACTACGACGGCATGTCACTGGTTTCTGGCAATATTAGGCCTCTGGAACCATAAAGTGGTTAGAATTTTTCTAGAATACCCTGAAAGGCTATCCAATTAGATCTTAATGAAAACAATGTTGTTCAAAGAAACAATGTTGCAACTCTATGAACTGTTTCAATTATCACCCCCAAATACAGGGGACCCCTGAACAACACAGGTATGAACTGTGCAGGTCCAGTTATGCAGATTCATTTTTTGTTGTTATTAATCCTCACCCACAGATATTTTTCCATTGATTTTTAGAGTGGGGAAAGAAAGAAACATCAATTGGTTGCCTCCCACAAAACCCAAACCAGGGCCAGGGATCAAATCTGCAACCCAGGCACATGCCCTTGACTGGAACCAAACCTAAGACCCTTCCGTCAGAGGGCTGATGCTCCAGCCTGTGAGCCAAACCAGCAAGGACCACAGATCTTTTTTCAATAATTACACAGTTGACCCCCCAAGACCCCTGGTTTTCACCTCTGTGGTTCAAAAAGCTTATTTTCAATCCAGAGAGCAGCTGCTGTTAAGTTTTGGGGAAGTCAAAGGCTGTGTATGGATTTTCGACTGTGTGTATGTTGTTTGTGCCTCTAACCCTGCACTGTTCAAGAGGCAACTGTAGCCTTGGCTGGTGTTGCTCAGTGATTAGTGTCGGCCCATGCACTGAATGGTCATGGGTTCAATTTCTGGCGTGTGTGTGGGAGGCAACCAATCAATGTGTCTCTCTCACCTCTACGTATCTCTCTCTCCCCCCTCCCCCCCTTTACTCTAAGAAAAATCAATGGAAAATATATAATCAGTGAGGATTAATACACAGTCAATGGTAAATGACTTGACCCTGTGCAAGATCACTCATGATGAGCAGCTGTAAACTGTTTGAGTGTTCATTATCAAAATGTAGTAAAAATTACAGCCCCCTAAAGAATGAATCAAGTAATCCAGGTCTCTAATAAAACTATTCAATGCGTAGAGAATGTGATTACTACATGAATTTGTATAAAGCTTAGCCAAGAAAAACAACACAAAACATCACTACACAAGACTTCAACCACCTAAATACCTTTTGAAAGTTAATTTCTCTACCTCTTTTAGCACTTTATTACAGTAGCTCTCCACTGTATTTAACAAACCCATTTGATGACTTCATAGGTAGCCATTAAAAATAAAATCTAAGCAACCCAGTTCATTCTTTCCAAGAGATCAGACAAGTAGAAAATACAACCATATATGTAAATAACACCATGAGTTTAGGTAAAGACCACTTCCTGTTGGAAGACATACCAGGTGTCTGCATTGGACTTCAGTATGCATGCATAAAGAAAGATGGCTCCATAGATGAAATTAATGAGCTAGTTGGAAAGTACATTAGCCAAAGAGTGGTCCTGGCTGAAGTACAGAATCTACACAGAAAAGCATCAGATTATCTAAAAACACAGACTGAGAATTTGAAAGTCTTGAACATATGTAACATGACCATAGCAAGAAAAGGTTCGGCGGGGGGAGGGGAATGCAGGACAAAAGTAAGAGACCTTTTTAGCAGGGTGAATAGGGACAGTGCTGGTAGTAACATAAGGGAATATACTCATGTGAAAATACATGCACCTACTCAACTAATATAAATCTACCCTTTTCCTAGTTAAAAACTCAACCTATGTATTTACCCAGCCCTAGACTGTACAAAGCATACAAATGACAATCTTTTCCCAATAAAACTCTATTTTAAAAATAATTTTCACAGCCAAATCTATGCCAAAATAAGAACTATGCACTAACAGATAAAAATATATAAAAAAACAATTACTTAATATATAACCCTCCATTTATATATGATTCTGTATTTGTAACAGTTTTACAGCAATCAGTGTGATTTTTGTGTTTTATGTTTTCACTACAATTTCAAAACTGGTACTATCATCAATTACTCCAATGTATTTAAACAGATAGCCCTGGAGACTCAACTTTAGGAACAATCCACTTTCCAACATTAAACTCACTTTTGCAAACATCGTTCCCTTTAATTCTTAAGCATCATGCAGAACTAGTATTAAAATCTGTCCATCTCCCTTTCTGTGTGTATGCCTGAGACATTCAGAAAGTCCAGAACATAGCACTTGTTTGCTACGAAGAAAAACCTTTCTTCCACCATGGTCACAATGAATGAAGTTTAATAACTAGCACCTCATATCAGAGAGGGTATATTATAACTATAACCATAGAAATGAAGTCAATACAAAACAGCCAAATGTATAAAAGCCACCAAAAACTTTAGATTTAGATACTTAAAACCTGCCATCCTTCAGCATCAAAGAGTCTTAAAAGCATGTTGACAGCTCTAGCTCATTATATTACTTCATCCTTTAACCCGGGTCCAACATCCCGATTTCACGCCATTCATTTTAAGCCAAGGACAGCTTATAAAAGTCTGTCTGTACCTGTAAACATGCCCATATTAAACTCTTAACCTGAAATAAAACTATATAAACGTATTCACAAAAAACTAGTAAATCTGGTTCCATAAATGAACCATACAGGCATTTTAAGTTAAAATTTTTACCATGTCTGGAGTTACGTTGTTCTTTATGTATTGAGAGAATTGTTTCTTGTAAGCATCTTCATCTTCTTCCATTAGATAACGCATATAATCTGCAACATTCTGACCCATGATGTGCTTCCGATGTACTTCTGCGTTGAATTCCTTGCTTTCTGAATCATAGCCAGGGAATCGTTTGGTACTAAAATAAAGTTTCTCACATGTTAGTATATATTGATTGAAACCAGTTCACTAGCAGGAATTCA